TTGTTGGCCCAGGGGGTGGTGTACATGTAGGTGTAGGTGTAGGAGTAGGAGATAGAAAGAAGAAACGTTGGCAAAACCCAAGCGACAAAACATTCATGTTGCCAAAGCAAACAAACAACAGAAGAAGAGTGGAAAGAGCGGGCAAGAGGAGACAGGATTGGTGCGATGGATAGAAAATGAAAAGGGTGAAACGGTAGGGGTGTAGACTGCTTCTGCATTGAGGGTGGCCTCCATTTTTTGGTTAAATCAGAAATCGCATAATATTTGAATAAAATGCAAAGGAAAAAAGTAGTTTTCCAAACAGAAAGTAGTACCCCCAAGAGAGAGAGAGAGAGAGAGAGAGATGGAGAGATAGAGTGAAAGAACAAGCGAGGGAGAAGGACCCTTGGAGCTCCTCGTCTCCTGTTGAGCCCCACCTCCAAAGCGGGGAAACAAACAAATAAGAAAAGGAAATGACGAAAAATGTCTTTCAACAATGCAATGGGGGAAAAAGTTTTTACAGATGGTAAAACAGGGTATCAATATGGGTATATGTACAAACACGAAACTTTTACCAAGGGCAGGCACTTTATAAGCTAAGAAACCGATAAAGGAGGAGTTACAAATTCCTGAAATTAACCAACAAGAATGGAAAGTTATGAATAAGAAGCACTGAATCACGTCAGGCAGCAGCGCCCCTCGGTTTGGGAAGTGCAGATTAGGTATGTAGGTGAGAGAGGTGATGGTAGGTAAATGGTGCTAAATAATTAATTGATTCTCTGCTGATTCCCAGTGTTTCCCATACTATGCACTGCTGATACCCTGTAGTCCCCCACCTTACCGCGTGTGCACTTTCTACACACACACACATGCAGTGCTTGCAAAAAGTATTCTCCCAGCAGCAACAAACAAGCAAAAGTGACACCGAAACACAGCAGAGATTTCTGTGCTGTGCTTTGGCTTCGTGCCACTCCCACTCCCTCTTAGCACCACCACTTGATTTAGCTGTTGTTGTTGCATGCAGAAGTTGTTTTTGTCGTCAGTGTTGCATGCAGCACTACCGCCCGCATTAAGGCGTGGCCGCTCAGCGAGCATCGACCGCCCACATGGCGGCAAGGCGCTTTTTTTTTGCATTTCATTTTTTTCTTGCATTTTCTCTGTTACTTTTTTTGGTTTTTGCATGGGTGTAGTTGCCTGGAATGGGGAAGGGGATGGGGGAGTTTCGCGAAAGCTTGTTTTTTGTTTCATATCAGAGCCCTGTGATCGAGACCCCCCCCCCCTCATTATGGCTCATCCAATTTCTTTCCTTTCCCTCCCTGTGGCACGTTGGCGACGTCTGTTTGCTGTTAGTTCAGCTCGTGACTGGTCGCATTGGGGCCATCGTCTTCCCCCCTCTGGATTGTTGTTGATGGGGAGGGTGTAGTTGCCCCATCTGTACGGGAATTGTCTGGGTGGTGCGGGGTGTGTGTACAACCTCTTGACTCCCAAGGACTCCCGAAACACGGGGGGGGGGGGGAGGCTCATGAACATTCTTTGTCTTTTTGCCAGGGCGGACATCCAGCTCCCTTCCACATCCACCACATCCCTACATTTCAAGCCCGCCCTCGTCTCAGCAACAGCCTCTACTTGTCTGCCCCTCTGTAGTGCCTCATTCAGCCCTTCGCCATGAAAAGTGCCTGCCAAAAGTTTATGGCGCGTCGCAAAGTTTGTCGCGATTTTCGTGTTGGTTTTGTTGTTTGTGTAGCCATCGACCATCAACCCCTTAAACACCTCTGAACTTCCTCTCCCACTTCGACAAGCAAGGACCGCGGGCTCCCTCCATGCTCCTCCATTTGTTTGTCTGCAAATACCCTTTCAACGAAGAGCATTACGGATATCCTCCAGTATGTCTGTACAATCCTCTACTATGTACATCCCTCAAATCAAATGTCAAACTTTCGCTCAAATTGTGTAGTCTCTGAAAAATTCTATAACAATTAAGTTCTGTTAAGGATTATTTCGATGCAGGAGAACAAATTGCATCCTCAGGAAAGTTTGTTTCACAAAAAATAAAAAGTTTCCTTCAAAATATTTGCCACATCTGTTGCGCTCTCTTGCTCTCTTTCTGTGAATTTGGGCCAGATTGTTTCAAGGTCACAAGGCTTCACCCCACCTCTCACGTAAAACACCCCCCACCTACCCCTGAACCACACAGAATGGTGTAGATCAACTGATTTCGATAGCTTTTCGATAACAAACATAGACAGCACGTGTCACACAGGGGCACAGGAGGAGAGGGGTTGGCGGGGACAGTGACAAGTGAAACATCAGACAAATGAGCGTGCCCCCCACGAGCACACACACAAAGGTACATACACAGGCAGGCAGACAGACACACAGACGTACAGACGGACAGACGGACAGACAGGAAGGGAAACAGCAAGAGAGACAGTGCCGCAGAGGGTGTGTCAGTGGGTAGTGGGGACCA